AGTTTTTGTTTCTATAACGAACATACAGACAGACAGACAAAAATTTTACTGATTGCATTTTTGGCATCAGTATCGATCACTAATCACCCACTGATAGTTATTTTGGAAATATATTTCATGTAAGAATTGACCTCTCTACAGATTTATTATAAGTATAGATGTATATAATTTTAACAATTACTATGTAAAGTAATAGCCGTCGATGAGAAATGAGAATGTAACAATAACACGGATCAAAATGTGTCGTGCCAAATACAAAAGCAACAGTAAACAGAATACACGTTGGATTCCGTGTTCTATCTTCGATTTGCATGGCTGCAAGTGTGTGCAATTTGTAACAAACAATTTGCACATGTGTGCGTCCGATTAGTGTCGCTCGCTTATCTTGATACACGCGGGATGTCCTGTTTATTGTTTTCTTAAAGTGCCAACTTTACGATATTTTAATGGATGCTAATTTAATAGTATACCCACCTATATTACTACTGTACAGAGCATCAGTGAAAGAATATACGACAAAAAAATATATATACTTCGCCATGTGATGCCGGCATAGCATTCTATGCCGGGACCACACAGCGAGGTCACCGAGGATATGGCGTGAATTTACAGGGTACAAAGGAATAATACCTGAGTCTTCAGGAATGGCAACGCATGAGGGGTATCATGGGCGAAAGAGTATACTCTGTTATGTAGATGGTACTGCTCATGTCTATAGGCGACGGTTACCACTCTTCATCAGGTGAGCCGTCAGCTTGTTTGCCATTTATAAGTTGTATCAAAAAAAATATATATTTATAAATAACAATACAATTTTCAAAAGTTTTTGAACAAGTAATGTTTCACAAAAATAACCGACTTTAATCAGGCAACACTATTTTAATTTAAAAACTAACTAGTTGGATCCACATTGATAAAATTTATATGGGCCTAATTTGAATATATATCCATTCAGATAAGAAATACACTTTTTAAATCAATTTATAAATGACGGTTTACTGAATTAACAAACATACGAAAAAATAAAACCGACTTGAAGACGTCCTTTTTAATGGCATAAAAAATGAAATTATTAATTTCATTTGACAGTATTGGATATGTACCTATACAAATTTATTGGTTTAATTTAAATTTATTTTTTTCTTTAATCATAACAATCACCAACATTAGTTTTGTATCTTTATTTAATTTAAACACCAAATTTTTACGCCTACAATTTTAAGGCAATTAAACAGACGCCAAAAAGTTCTGTCATATGACCTTTATTATGTTAAATGTCATTTCATTTAATTTCCTTTTCCGAAGTCTATTAAAAATAGAAAGTTCTTAAAGATCTTACACGTTCATTACATATTATCAATTGCATTATTTCTAGCTGTATTTTGCTTTATTTTAAATATTTTAAATTTAATAAATAAAAGACATGTTGACAGCTAGAAAAAAGAACGATTTGTATTTTTTATTATATTCAAATTATTATAAGTAACAAGAAAGTTTTTATGTGTTAACATAAACATCTAAAGGTCCTCGATTTATTCCCGGAATTCGGCACCAAAAATGTTAATGTTCTAGCTGCATTTTGCTTTATTTTAAATATTTTAAATTTCATGAATAAAAGACACGTCGACAGCTAGAAAAGGCATGATTTTTATTTTTTATTAAATTCAAATTATTATAAGTAACAAAAATTTTTTTTTGTATTTGTTTTTATTTTTAATTTTTCAATTATGTTTATCCCAAAATATTAGGAACCGCCGTTGGCGACACTAGTTCCGATTGACATAAAGGAGCTAAATGCTTGGGGTGTGAGCCGTACAAACGCTTAGCACAGTATTTATTGGCACGTACTCGTACACGATCGACAAAAATTCCAATAAAAGTCCCCGATAGGAATTTGGATGCGAAAAGAATAATGTTTAATTTGCCCGATGAGGAGCGCCCCTGCGATTTATGGATGTATTCTGTGAAAAAAAAAATTAAGACTCAAATACTGACCTTTAAGTAGACTTTATGCCTACAAGGTACTTTTCATTTTATCCCTTATAGTGCCATTGACGACGAGCCATGAGAATTGTCGATGATCCCAGGCTCACAGGCGGTATCGAACCCTTAAATCTTAGGAGAGATTTTGCCTCACTCTGCGTGTTCTACCGCCTGTACAATGGATTGTGCTCAGAGGAATTGTTCAATACGATGCCCACAGCCATTTTCTACCATCGTACGGTACCCTTGGATAAATGACATCATCTTTAAAAAACTGTATCTCCTTCAAAAATTATCCAATTTTAATATTTTTTTTTTACAGCAAGCGGCTGATTTCACGAGCGCTATGACGCTCGTGGCACTTTTAATTGTAATGCGTACGCGCGAGATGGTGCTCGCCGGCACTCAAAGCGTTTTTTTATGGGGAAAATGGTATGGTAACCCCGCCTGCACTAACGGGATACGCTAGCGGAGCACCAGTGAAGGGTGATAGATGAGAATGAAAACAGGCCAGTTAGCCCATCATGATGAATTCATCAGGAATTAACCATGATAGTTTCCAGGGGGAACCGCGAGGAGGTCAATCTGGTTGGGGATATTGCTAGCAGCACTCAAAGGGTTATGGATGATAATGGAGTGGTAACCCAGCTTGCGCTATCGGCTATGCAGGGCACCAATGAGAAATGATTGGTGAGGATGAAAAGGCATGTCAGTTAGTCCATCGTGACGAATTCAACGATAAATTAGTCACGATGGTTACCAGAAAGAGCCGCGTGGAGGTCGACCCGATATATTGATAGCAGTGAGGACTAACCTCCCCTTTACTAACCATCCCTTTCACAGAACCTACAAGGTACTTAGCTGTACTTAAAAAACAAATGTACTCGACAACCTATACTGGAGATGTAATTGGTACTTTTGCTCCTAAGTTTTATTTTCTATTTACTATAATAAATTATATATGTACTGATTTATATGACTAATAAAAGGAAATATAATGTAGAATAAATGTAGATTTCTCATATATATATATATATATATATATATATATATATATATATATATATATATATATATATATATATATATATATATATCATATATAATTTGCACGCCGACATGCTGGCAGAATGTATATGGGAAATGTAAACCTCTTTCATCTAAAACTACCAAATTTTTTTTTTATACACCTTAGAATGGCAAACAATCTGACGGCCCACCTGATGGAAAGTAGTAACCGTCGCCTATACACATGCAGTACCATGGACATAACAGAGTATACTGTTCGCCCATGATACTCCCCCGTTGTCATTCCTGAGGACTCAGGTGTTATTCCTCTGTACCCATTAAATTCAGTGTCATATTCCACCCTTTAAATCGAAACACAGCCATGCAAACACAATTGCTTCACGGTAGAAACACGAATGGGACAGAGGTAGCCAAGCAATCGACTTTTGTACAAAGTCTCCCTCTGGTACATTCTAGCAAAATAAATTCATTTCATTTCATTTCATATCACCAGAGCAGGATTAGGCATTAGGCAGTATAGAAAATTGTAGGCAACGCATGGTAGTTATCATGGGCGAAACAGTATACTCTGTTATGTCCATGGTACTGCTCATGTCTATAGGCGACAGTTATTCTTTCCATCAGGTGAGCCGTCCACTTGTTTTCCATTCAAAGTTGTATAAAAAAATCCTTACAGTGAAATCCAGAGGTGCCGTCTATCAAAATAAACGTTGAAGAAAAAAAGTAAACAGATTCATACCCGCATTTCTAAGCATACTTAAAAAAGAAGGCAGTTCCCAATTTAGTTCTTTATTTTTATACTTGTTACGTCAGTCATAAACCGCTTTGGATTTTCTTTATCTTTTTATTTTTTATCTTAAATAGTAAATTTTATCAAATTCTGTTCAGCAGTTTATTTTTTAATAAAAATAGTTAATTTTGTCACAATTTAAGTCGATTGTTTTATGAGAGACAATGTTCATATCTCGTAAAATACGTCTCGTCCATTGTTCTTGCAATTGTAATTAATCGTATTGTATGCCCGATGTATGGGTAGGCTGTTTTCCTTTGAGACGTTAATAACATCTTACGAAAAATTGTAACATACAGCTCACAATAAATTTATTCTATTCTATTCTATTCTAATGGGGTCGAAATATTATATCTAATGGTGCACTCAAAATAAAATAAATAATCGTTTTTTATACCACTGAAGTGGCATGTATAGGTGGTTAACATACCCTATGACCGCCTGCAATATTGAAGAAACCTCTTTATTCCTTTTTCGAAGAACCCCATGCTGTAGTCTCTTAAAAATACCTCGACAAACAACACAAAATCGTGGTCAGAAGTCTTTAAATATGTAATAATAATAATAATAATTTATTTACAAAATATTGGGAATTGCCAGTAGCAGATCTTAAGTTACAGTTGTTCAGCAATATTTACCATTTCGGTGTGTAAATGTTTTTTTTTTTTTTTATAATATCCAAAATAAGTCATAATAACATGAACAAAACCAATTACTTCAAATTACAATCACGAATTAAGTCAATGTTATGCCTTTACAGTGTCAAGTATCACAAATTACATCTATTCAAAAAGTCTTTCACAGAATAGAAACAACCATCAATTAAATAGTCAAACAATCTTCTCCTAAACTGTGTGTTAGTCAAATTTTTAACATTATAAGACAATTTATTATATATTATAATAGCCATGCAGTAACTATTTCTTTGAAACACGTTAAGTCTCTGTGTCGGTATTTCTAATTCATTTTGAAGTCTTTGACTTCTATTTGTGGATTTAGTTACAAACAATTCAATATGTTTTTGGACAAACAAGCAATTTTCATATATGTAAAAAGAACTATATGTATATTAAGTGTAACATTATCTGTTCTCATTGCTTTTACACTATCACCTTTAATTAATCACGTCATTTGCATGACTCATTCTCGACCAATCAGCTAGATTGCATTTCAACACAGTATTTTAAAAGCAAACAATCCATATGACCACACATATCGTCACTCGACACTGAATCGGACGCTCGTGTCTCAACTGTCTACAGTAAACATGAAGTACTTCATATTGCTAGTTGCTGTCACTCAAGCGTTATTAGCAAGCGGGCAGCCAACTAATACGATTCCAGCACCTCATATAACCATTCTGACAGCCCGGGACGACTCCCTCGACGTATCCTGGAGTAAAGTCGAAAATGTAATCTCAAACGAACCCGTTCTCGGATATGTGGTAAGTTTTATTTACTTATTTTTTAATAATTATGTTTATTATTTTATTTATTTTTTTTAATATTTTTTTTTTAATTTTTGCCGTGAGACACGGTAGTGCAATCCACGTCGAAACGGCGACAATAAAAATCAGCTATGTAGGTACTTTCATATTTCATCGCGTCAAGTATCGATAGTGTATTTAAAATAGGGGATTATTAGCAATCGAGAATAATGGTAAATGTTACCATTGCTAGCAATATCAAGTCGAACTCTATGGGGTTACCTCTGGAAACTAATAAGAATAAAATAATAATAATTTTTTTTATTCACGAGAAGATTTATAATAAGAATAAAATAATAATAATAAATAAATAATAATCTTATAATAAGAATAAAATAATAATAAATTTTTTATTCACGAGAGGCGTACCAGAGGAAGACTTTGTATAAAAGTCGATTGCTTGGGTACCTCTGTCCCATTCGTGTTTCAACTTTAAAGCAGTTGTGTTTGCATGGTTGTGTTTCGGTTTGAAGGGTGAGATATGGCGTGAATTTACAGGGTACAGAGGAATAACATCTGAGTCTTCAGGAATGGCAACGTATGGGGGGTATAAAAATAATTGTTTTATTATTAATTTTATAAGTATTAAGCATTTTATGACATATACAATACATTACAATTTCATGAACACAGCGATACTGGAACGCGAGAAGATGAAAAAAAATTGTTCCAAATTCAAAATGTAAAAATAAAACACCTATTACAGGTATTTTTTAATTTAATTACTGGCAACACTGAATAATAGCATGATTCGTATTATAAAAATAGATTTCAAGTGGACGTAGGTGATTTTAACCAGTTTTTTGGTAAGCTCGAGGTGTATGATCTAATACTGAGACTAGTAGCACCATGGTCCGCGGCTAGTCTATTAACTCAATTGCCATTAATTCTCGTTTGAAACAAATTGAAACTGTCACTTTTATTATTATGAATGTATTATTTGAGATTTCATTTATATGACTATCCATTTGTTCGCTACTTCGAACGCATAAACATCAAAAGTAGGATAACCAATGTAATGAACCGCTTCAAGATTTATTTATTTTATTTATTTATTCATTAAAAACAATTATAACATTATGACAGCAAAAACCAAATCAATGTCATAAACCTAAGACATACAAAATTATAATAAAAGTATTTAAAACTTTGTAAAAGGCCGGCAGCGCACCTGAAATGCCGTTAGTGTTGTGGGTGATCATGGGCGGTGGTGACTACCGCAAGTCACCTACCGCCAGGTAAGTGACTCACTTACCACCAGCCGCATTGCCGCATTGCAAAAAAACCCCCGACTTTTTTTTTTACAACACATGGGGCAAACGAGCATGCGGCTCACCTGATGGTAAGTGACTACCGCCGCCCATGATCACCCACAACACCAACGGCATTGCAGGTGTGCGGCCGGCTTTAAAGATAACTCCAGATATTTCTGAGCCGTTTCTAATATCTTTGGCAGGCTACTACTAAAAATAACAATGACGTTTATAATATTATTTAATAACTGTACTGCGCGAGTTAAGAGAGCGTGCTTAGGTAAGAAGTAGGTTAGTTCTGACTGGCGAGACATTAGATAGAAAATTATAAACAAAATATATATATATTAAAATTCGAGATAGACATTCTGTTGGAAATACTAAATTTAATATTATAGTATTCCAACACCTTCAGAAACACAAAAGTAGAAACCGCATCAAGTTTGGTTTGCGTTTTTGGTGAGATAGACAGGAACAACGTTTTTAAACATTATTGTATTAACTTCTATTAGTCTTATTAAATTAAATTAATTCAATCAATATTTACAGTACTTAGATGTAAAATGTGTATATAACAGACAGATAATAATTAAATTTAAATTTGAAGTTAATTTCGAAATATAATAAGTAAAATTCTTTTTAATGTGAGGGAAACTTTGTACAAAAGTCAATTGCTTGGGTACCTCTGTCCCATTCGTGTTTCTACCGTGAAGCAGTTGTGTTTGCATGGCTGTGTTTCGGTTTGAAGGGTGGGATATGGTGTGAATTTACTGGGTACAGAGGAATAACACCTGAGTCCTCAGGAATGGCAATGCATGGGGGGTATCATGGGGGAAACAGTATACTCTGTTATGTGCATGGTACTGCTCATGTCTATAGGCGACGGTTACCACTTTCCATTAGGTGGGCCGTCAGCTTGTTTGCCATTCTAAGTTGTATAAAAAAATATATATATTTGTGATTTTTCTCTCGGTACATTCATTTGTCATTTACCTAGGTGAGCTAGTCTTCTATTTTTCCATTCCAAAACCCAAGTCCATCTAAATGTAAAAATTCGCTCTCAAATTGTTTGCTAATTATATTATTTAAATATTTTCAGGTAAAAGTGTGGGAGATTCCACCTGTAACGGTATACAAATACGAAGTTAAGGACGGAGAGAAAGTGCTTGTCCAGGAGCAAAAAGAGCCTGAGGTATGTTTTTAAATTTTTTCTAACTTATTCGGCCATTTACACTTGTTCCTACTAACTTCCCCTCTAGATGGTAAGAGTGGATTTTTTCCACCTGTATCTACCATTTTGTGAGCAGTAGGAACAAATAGAATTATCAATTATCTAAAATGTGGTATTATCTACCAACTAACTATTCATTTTACATATTTTGTTTAGTAGATAAAGTACTTGAAATACATTGTAATATTACTGTCATATCATTAGTTATATAGTAGTTTACCAGAGGGAGACTTTGTACAAAAGTCGATTGCTTGGGTACCTCTGTCCCATTCGTGTTTCAACCGTGAAGTAGTTGCGTTTGCATGGCTGTGTTTCGGTTTGAAGGACGGGATATGGCGTGAATCTACTAGGTACAGAGGAATAACACCTGAGTCCTCAAGAATGGCAACGCATGGGGGAGTATCATGGGCGAAACAGTATACTCTGTTATGTCCATGGTACTGCTCATGTTTATAGGCGACGGTTACCACTTGCCATCAGGTGGACCGTCAGCATGTTTGCCATTTTAAGTTGTATAAAAAAAAAGTTATTATTAATATCTTTGTATGTTGTGAAGTAACAAACTAGACAATCAGACACTACTCACTCACACACTAGACAATCAGACAGTAGACACACACACTAGACACTCAGACACTAGATATTTAGACACTTGACACTAGACACTCAGACACTAGACTCTCAGACACTCAGACACACAGACTCTAGACACTCAGACACTAGACACTAACACACACAGACCCTAGACTCTCTGACACTTGACGCTCAGACACTAGACACTCAAATACTAGTCAGTCGTACACTAGACACTCAAACACTAGACAGTCAGACACTAGACACTCCGACACACAGTTTCTATACACTCCTTTATTTTTGAAGTCGGTTGTTAAATAGTAAATCTTAAGCTTGATTTTGTAGCAAATTATTCAAGTCAATCAATGAAATGAAATGAGTTTATTTACATTAAACATTCTTGAAATTATTAACAAAAGTGACGTAGTATTAAGTTTGGCACCTGTTTAACCGATTGTAGGCATGCATATATTTATATTTTATAAAATTAATGAAAAATTAAATTATAGGTCTAAAAACCATATTGAATTATATCTAATGTATTTAAAATTATACGATAAAATTGTCTAGAAAAGCATATTACTGACATTTTTGCAGCCACTTGTTGCCGCTGTTCGCTTGCTTTGTTTCGTGTTTGAATAATAAACAATGAATTTCTTAGTACTCTGATCTTGAACATCATTTAAGGTTACTATGTTTTAGTTAAAAAAAAAAATACTAATTAATTTCTCAGTAGAAACAACTATACTGTTTCCACTTTTTATACTACATATATATACTACTTGCTGGTAATTAATGCTTCTTGCCACTCAGGGTTTGCTGGAAGAGAACTCTTAAGGAGCAAGCTCGTCTGTTGTATATCTTTATTTTTAAATAAATATATAACAATGTAATTTTTGTTTTTAATAAAGCATGAAACAATAATAATAATAATTTAATTCCAGCTGGACACGACCAAGATACCCAGTGGAGTACCACGCGAGATCAAAGTTCCCGATGCTACCATTACCACGGCTAACATAGACGGTATAAAGTTCAATGTACTTTACCACATCAGAGTGCTGGCTTATACTAAGTCACAGCAAGGACCATTGTCGGACGCAGCAGGAATCAAACTCATCGATAACGACACAAAAACCTCGTAGATTAAAAAAAAAACTTTAGGAAATAAGTGATTTAAAACTGCAAACCTTTGACATGTGCCTTCAAGTGAGTTAACAGTTGATTTATTATTAAAATATTTGTACAATTATTATTAAATTAAATATTGTAAACAATTATTATAAATATTTAAATAAATAATTATATATATATATATTTTTTTTTTGTATAATGATTTTGTCTTTTCCACCGACTTTAAAAAGAAAGTGGTTTCTCAATTCGATTGTATTGTTTTGTTTTTGTTTATTACCTTATAACTCACACAGTTATGAATCGATTTGAAAAATTCTTTTTTTTTATCTGAAAAAGCATACTTACAGACTGGTTTCATAGGAATTTTATGAAAATCAGTTCAGTATTGTATAGTATATCCATCTATATGAACTCAGAACATATGTAGATTGTAGCCAATGGGTTTTTTTTTTGATGGGTGAAAATGGAATGGTAACCCTGCTTATGCTAACGGGATACGCTGGCGGAGCACAGAGAAGGGTGATAGATGAGAATGAAAACAGGCCAGTTAGCCCAGAGGAAGACTTTGTACAAAAGTCGACTGCTTGGATACCTCTGTCCCATTCGTGTTTCTACCGTGAAGCAGTTGTGTTTGCATGGCTGTGTTTAGGTTTGGAGTGTGGGATATGACATGAATTTATTGGGTACAGAGGAATAACACCTGAGTCCTCATGGGGGGTATCATGGGTGAAACAGTATACTCTGTTATGTCCGTGGTACTGCTCATGTCTATAGGTGACGGTTACCACTTTCCATCAGGTGGGCCGTCAGCTTGTTTGCCATTCTAAGTTGTATAAAAAAAATGTTGAATTCATCAGGAATTAACCATGATAGTTTCCAGGGGTAACCGCGAGGAGGTCGACCTGGTTGGGTATATTGCTAGCAATGGGATTCTCAGTCTTTACAATAACAATTCCTTTCTCCCCTTAGCCGATGGGGTTGATTATGGGGCGGAATTTCTTAAACATATATCTAAAATTAAAATTTGTATAAATGAATATCAGTGTTTATCTCTGTTGAGGGCAAAGCAATAAACTGAGTTGTGACCATTTTGTGTTACTATGGCACACGCATGAAATTAAAATTTTCATGAAATTGAGTATGCAAGGGGTGATAAATCGAAAAAATAATAACGAAAATCATTCATATTTCGTTAGTATGTTTAATATACACAATTTGTATCTAAATATATGTAATTAAAAAAAAAACACGATTTTCAAAAAAAAATACCGATAAAAACTCGGTAATCCAGGTATTGTTTTTATATCTGTTATCATTATTATAATATATTTTGTAAGTTTTTTTTTATACAACTTAGAATGGCAAACAAGCTGACGGCCCACCTGATGGAAAGTGGTAACCGTCGCCTATAGACATGAGCATATATATATATATATATATATATATATATATATATATATATATATATATATATATAATATATATAAAATAATAGGTTAATAGATAAATCAGGAGAAATAACACGTCGGAATCGTTTCTATTGTTACCACAATGCCCTTACGCATACATAGTACGTAGCAAACTATTATCTGTATGACTCGACCTTCGACCAATCAGGTCTTGAGTATACTTAAACTCATTTAAACATAAACACACAAGCACATCTTGCATTTTGTCAGTCGACACGGGATAGGACGATCGTGTACCAGCTTCCTGGATTAAAGATGGAGAATTCACCGATTTTGCTGTTGGTGCTGTGTACGCTGGTAGGAGCTGGTCAACCCAGCAAAACTATACCAGCACCCCATATAAACGCATTGAACGCTCAGGACAAAGCTATTGGTGTATCTTGGAGCAAAGTGGAAGGTGTTTATTCAGACGAACCAATCATTGGATATGTGGTGAGTTTGGTTTCACATAATCATCGGCATCATTATGATATCAACCCTCGACAAATATAGGGGGTTTTACCAAGGGTTTTGTCATGCTTAGCAGGCGAGTTAACAACTGCAATTATGTTTTTAATGGTGTTTTAAGTGGGACGCTGCTGTCCATCCTTCGACCTTTGAGTTACTTTAGTCGCCTCTTACGACGCCCACGGGAAATAAAGAAGTGGACCATTCTATGTCGGGACCACACAGTATACATTAAATTAGTTTATACTAATATTATAAAGAGGAAAAATTTATTTTACCAGAGGGAGACTTTGTACAAAAGTCGATTGCTTGGGTACGTCTGTCCCATTCGCGTTTCAACCGTAAAGCAGTTGCGTTTACATGGCTGTGTTTCGGTTTGAAGGGTGGGATATGGCGTGAATCTACTAGCTACAGAGAAATAACACTTGAGTCCTCAGGAATGGCAACCCATGGAGGGTATCATGGGCGAAACAGTATCCTCTGTTATGTCCACGGTACTGTTCATGTCTATAGGCGATGATTACCACTTTCCATCAGGTGGGCCGTCAGCTTGTTTGCCATTCTAAGATGTATATAAAAAAAAACTCAAAAACTACTCAACTGATTTTGAAAATTGTTTTTCCTGTAGCAAGCTACATTATTAGCCAGTATATATATATATATATATATATATATATATATATATATATATATATATATATATATATATATATATATATATATATATAATTCTGTCTCTTCGTGCGAAGCCGAGTTAGATCATTTGTATACTATAATTTCATTATGTCATCCACTAACCTAAGTCAATTAACTGTTCACTGCTAAGCAAAGGCCTCCTCTGTAAAGAGGATTTTGCCAGTAGTTGCCAAGCTTAGCAGACGGATTGGTAACCGTATTTAGGCTTTGGTGATGTTTTAAGAGAGCTGCTGCCCATTTCTCGGCCATTATGTATTAAAATTTACTCTATGTTAATATAAAATATAAACTATATAACTGTGTATAAATATATTTATTCAAATCCCTTCATCTGTTTATGGGTATTGTTAATGGGTGTTAATGGAATGGTGATCTCGCCTAATAGCCCATCGTGACGGATTCACCTGCAATCAATTTCAAGGGGGAACCACGTGGAGGTCGACCCGATAGGGTATATTACTAACATCCTCCCCCCATCAACCAAAATGATTACCGCTCTGTCAAGTGTCTAGGCAATCATACATAATGTCTAAACGCTGATTCTCTGTAGAATCAATGGGAACGGTAGATAGCGCTACCAAGTAGATACATAATTTTGAGAGACATATCACATATAATATAATTATTATGCAAATTTTTGTACCGTCATGTATATGTGTATGTAATTTAATATGGCTTTTTTTGATGGATGATAATGGAATGGTAACCCCCGCCTATGCTACCAGTATACACTAGCGGGGCACCAGTGAGGGATGATTGGTGAGGATAAAAAGGCAGGTCAGTTAGCCCCTCGTGACGAATTCAACGATAAATTAGTCACGATGGTTTCCAGGGGGAATCGCGTGGAGGTCGACCTGATGCGGTATATTGATAGCGTTGGGGACTAACCTCCTCATTACTAACAATCCCTCCCCCCCCCCCGCCGTTTAATATGGTTATACATAGTTATTTGTATGTACACTAATTTGTTGACAAAAAAATCACAAATTCACTTTCACATTTTTTTTTATACTACCGAGGTGGGAAACAAGCATACGGCCTACCTGGTGGTAAACGGTTACCGTAGCGTATGAACGCCTGCAATACCAGTGCAATAACACACGAGTACCTACCCTGAAGAAATCTCTTTACCCCCTTTTGAAAAACCCCATGCTATAGTCTCTTGGGAAAACCTCGGCAGGGAGCTCATTCCATAACCTGAGTGTTCGTGGGAGAAAACATCTCTGAAACCACTTTGTAATACACCTCATACATAGATAAATTATTTCATACTAAACTAAAAAAAAAATATTTAATAACAAATTGTTTTTATTCAGTTGATAAGTTTTTAGCCAATTGAAATGAAAAAATGCGCCATGCCACGGTTCAAATTATACATGAATTAATCAGATTTTTTTTATTTATTTTTTATTGTCAATAAATACAACCGATCATAACTATAGAAAAAAAAAACTTAACTATTAGTTACATTTGTGATTCGGCTAGGTTACAATCCAATTACATTATGTGCACAGCTTGAGTAATTCATGTAAAGCAAACACGTAAAATAAAGGAAATACATAAAATGCTATTATAAATATTTAAAAGATAAAAGTATATGAAAAAAAAATCATATGTTCAATCATATTTTTATATATTGTATACTTAAACAATCAGACTGTTTTCAAATTATTTTTATATGTTTAATACGATATTTTAAATTGTTATTAATTTATTTAATGTAAATCGAAATTGTTAGATGACAAATCTAATTTAAAACTAGCATATATATGTAAAATAATTAAATATAATTTAACAACTAAATTGACATCAATGCATGTATATTAGTTAGCTATCAATATATAATTTTGCTACACCCAAACAGGGTTTATATACTTACTCTACATAAGAATATTGTTATAACTCTATATTATGTACATAAATGCATTATAATAATAAATAAATAAATAGATATTCACATAATATTTGTAAATAAATTTAACGTTAATCTTATTGCTTGTAACATTGTTTGTATCTAATACAAAGTCGTTATTGAGGTTAATAATTTATTGACATAAAATGATATGGTTATCTAATGGAAACAAAACTATTTAGTCGTGGATAGTTTATCTCATACTTTCTAGATACATATGTATTAGTAATATATATATATATATATATATATATATATATATATATATATATTATATATATATATATATTATATATATATATATCAAATTGTACCCTTTATCAGTACGTGAAGTCTATTTAAGAAAAAATTATATGAGGAATTTTATTAAGATCAATAGAAGCCAAAATAATATTTTTTTGAAATTTGGTCTGTCAAATACTACTACACCAAACTTAAAAATTTTGCACTTATAGAAAGCTACATTATCAGCTAGTTTATGTACTCTAAATATTAATAGTTGTAGCACTTCAGCTGCCCGCTAACGACATGCTTTCTAACTGTATCGGGTTGACTGGAAGAGATCTCTGTCAGAGATATGTCCACCCTTGCTCACAATGTTTATAAATGCATTAGCAATGTAATTTACAAGTGCAATAAAGAGTATATATATATCAAGTATTGCATTATTTTTCCTCTATTCAATATTGCACCGCCTACTTATTTCTCTGTTTGCCCAATAATTAACTGGTAGAGAACACCGTCCGGTGTTAAGTCCGCCAAATGTACATAGAATTATAGAATTCAACTGTGCATTAAAGTTTAAATAAATAAATAGACTATATATTATATTCGAAAATTCTACCTATCCGTGCGAAGCCGGATCGGATCTCTAGTTAATTATGTTTTTCTATTTTCAGGTAAAAGTGTGGGAGATACCAGACGTGACAGCGTACAAGTACGAAATAGTGGACGGGAAAAAGGTGTTAGTCAGTGATAAAAAAGAACCGAAGGTACATATTTGAAAGCTTTTGATTTTACTTTACAATCGTAAGAATTTAATATTATTGTTTCACCGTCTAATTACGTTTCTGTTTTGCCAAAGATTGTCTGGAAGAAAATACTCGATAGCAATAAATCTGCATTTTATACCAAACGTTTTTTAGTAATCCGGTCAATAAATATTATATATATTTATATACATATATATATATATATATATATATATATATATATATATATATATATATATAATAGTTTAATAATAATGGTTAATTTCTCAATTGCAGGTGGACCCAAAAAAGATACCTAATTCCATACCACGCGAGATCAAAGTAGATGGCGCTGATGTGACTGCTGTTGACGTGGATAACGTGAAAGATGATGTACTATACCACATCAGGGTACAAGCCTTCACCAAGACAGAGAAAGGGGCACTATCAGACGCTGCCACAATCAAGCTTATATCTAACGAGAATAAAAGCTAATATAATTAATTATATTGTGTAAACATTATAATATTATTATTATATTCACTATTCATATTATTTTGATATATGTTCTGTTATTTTATGTTTATTTTTTAAATGGATGATAATGGTATGGTAACCCCGCCCGGGTAACCAGAGGACTACAGATATCTTAAACCGCGGGATATTGTCAAGGTAACACAAAGGATCTATGAAATGATGGTATAAGGCAGGGGGAAGCACAAGAGATCTTAATGGGTCGACGTGCAACAGCTTAGCTGACCCCATATGCGAATATAAGATAAGATAAGATAACCCCGCCGGCGTCATCTGTATACGCTGGCGGAGCACCAGTGAGGGGTGATAGATGAGTATCAAAAGGTAGGTCAGTTAGCCGATCGTGGTGAATACATCTGTAACAACGATGGTTTCCAAAGGGGACCATGTGGAGGTCGACCTGACAAGGTATATTGTTAACAAAGGGACTGGTATTCTCCACACTCCCCTCCCCCCGGTTATTTTATGTTAGGAATTTTCTCCCACTAACGTTTAGGCTGGGGAATTAGCTCCCTGTGAGGCTTTCCCTAGAGACTACAGTATGAAGTTTCTCAAAAAGGGTATATTAAGGTATCTTCAGGGTCGGCAACGCGCGCATGACACCTCTAGTGTTGCAGGCGTTCATAGGCTACAGTAACTGTTTATAATTAAACAGGCTATATGCTTGTTTGCCACATTTATATATTTTATTCATTAGTACATATATGTGTACATGGCGGACTTAATGCTAAAAGCATTCTCTCCCAGTCAACCATAGGGAAGTGTCAGAATACTCGAATGCGGTACTACTAATTATTGATATACGTACATACTAAAATTACATATATAAACGAATAAATATATATGAATAACAAATATACTTACACATATATGATATATACTATATTATACACGAATTGGAATGGGAATAATATAAAGCAAATATAAATTATGTCATTAATCTTAATATAATAAAAATAATAAAATACACCTATGAACAACTATGTATTTATAAGACACATCAGACTATAAATATCTGGATGGATTTTGCTTTCCAACGACCAGGATTCTCAGCTTTAACCACCAATAAATTAATAACAGGTCAATATGGAGTCAAATGAGATAACGAGGTCAAAACGGAGTTAGCAAAGTTTAAAGCTTGTTTTCAAAATTTGCTCCGATCTGAATTAAAATGTTATAATATTTATAAAGATTAAACCTATTCGTAGCTCAACTAAGCAATGAAAAAGTGACAAGTAAACTATCCGAGCGTGTCCGAGCCGAGCCGAGGATTATGAGGGTAGTTCTGTGACATGCACGCCACCTGGTATTAGTGGGGATGACATACGCGACGTGTGCCAAGTCGACTTAATAGATTATTAGCAAAAAATCTGACTAGATCTCTGGGAATTAATTTAATCTAGATAAGGCATCAAGTTATTATTAGTCGGAAGAGATTTTCAATTCGTTTCAATTTTTTTTTTTGTTTCTATTGATTTCATATTACTTTTATAATAATTGAAACTTGCGTATTTCTTTACAAACCAAAATACCGGTCGTGTTCTTTTAACAACAACTTGGATTGGTAAACAAACTGACGGCCCACCTGATGGAAAGTGGTAACCGTCGCCTATATACATGAGCAGTACCATAGACATAACAGAGTATACTGTTTCGCCCATGATACCCCCCATGCGTTGCCATTCCTAAGGACTCAGGTGTTATTCCTCTGTGCCCTGTAAATTTACGCCTTAAAACCGAAACACAGCCATGCAAACACAACTGCTTCACGATAGAAACACGAATGGGACAGAGGTGCCCAAGCAATCGACTTTTATACAAAGTCTCCCTCCGGCAAACGAGTATGCTGCTCACCTGATGGTAAGTGACTACCGCCGCCCATACTCACCCACAACACCAACGGCATACGCCTTTTAAAAAGGAAGATGCTCTTTTCATGTCGTTATGTTGTCGTATCGGTTCGGAAATACTGCTGCTGGAAGTTGATTCCAAAGAGTGGTTGTGCTTGGGAGAAAGTGCCTTGAAAAACGCACGATGGAGGACCGCCACTTGTCCAGATGGTTGGGATGAAATTTTAGTTTATGGCGGGTTGTACGGTGGTGAAAATCAGCAGCAGGTATCAATCCGAACAATTCTTCAGAGCACTCCCCATATCGGATTCTATAACGCAATGAATCTCCTAACATAGCCCTCGCCATAACTCGCTGAATAATTAGACCCTTTTATCTACTGGCAATATAGACGGACTGACAGACAAATTAAACCACAATTTTGGTCTAAAATTTGCACCAATTCCGCTGGACAGAATGCTATATTCGTTGAGAGAAAGAAGATTATCTGATTATCTGTCGTAGGTAGCAATAAAAAGTAAGTGAAGTGTACAACGCTCACCTCAGCGAAAATGCAATTAGATTCGTCTCGGGAGACAGACGCGACCACCATTTTGTAGTCAGAGAGACGAATATTAAAATATAACCACCTTTAATTAATTTAATGATAACGCGTAAAGGGTACCATGGACATAATAATACATTCTACTATGATCATGTTACCTTTCATGTCTATAGGTTTGGGTTTCTCAAGTTTCAGTAACAGTTTTTTCCTGATAAATATTAGTTACATGCAATATGACGTAGCGCTGGTCAGAGAATATTATTATCTCACTTGATAAATACTCATTTGTGACGTGGTTCATACAAATTATTATATTAATAAATACACATGTACAAGATTAAAACTTGGTTTGAATAAATTTGAATAAATACAATTGTATTTCAAGTTACAAAATAAGTAAAGTTAACCGAGTTTCAAAGTCCTCTAGTCATTACCAAAATATTTTAAGTATAATTTACTATATTGTGACTTCTTGATGGAACTTTATTATATAAAGTACGTGTACATATACATACATAGCTGTCATGCGTGTCTCCCAATAGGGTAAGCTGAAACAATAGAACGCCAATTGCTTCGATTCAAATAAACCTATTTCGCTTCCTCTCCTTCTACATTCATCAATCTTTTCATACACGCTCACCGGTTACGAGTACTTTTAATTTTACCTTTTTATATAAAATACATACTCATAAAAATAATGAAATTTTTTTTTAATTATCTATATTAAAATAATGGACAGTGGATTATAATTAACACCGTCTCCCTGCCTAGAAGGTCCCGCGGCTGATTTACATATAAATTGCAGCTAACTCACGTGGCATCTCTTACTTTTAACTGCCGTAACCGCACTCCTGTGGCCGACTCGCCTCTTTGTTACCGAACAAATTGTTGCTGGCAAAATATTCTATATTATATACAAATCAAAACGTGCTAAGAAGGAATTGCTATTAGTGGGAATTAGTAGCCCCATTGCTAGCAATATACCCTGCCAAGTCGACCTCCTCATGGTTTCCCCTGGAAACTATCGTGACTGATTTATTGTTTGAGTCGTCAGGGTGGGTGAACTGACCTGCTTCATCCTCACCTATCATCCTTTACTGGTGGCCCGCCGGTGTATACCGCTAGCGGGGTTACCATTCCATTATCATCTACTCGTATTAAAAACAAAATGTTCAAAAACGCCTGTTCAAAATTGAGGAGCAATTGTAACGATTAACCTAATTGATATAAGCTAATTTCTTCACTAATATTAAGATTTAAAATTGTACTATTTTGACTATATAAATAAAAGAGCTTTCTTTTTTTTTGATGGGTGAAAATGGTATGGTAACCCTGCCTGCGCTAACGGGATACGCTGGCGGAGCACCAGTGAAAGGTGATAGATGAGAATGAAAACAGGCCAGTTAGCAGTTAGTTAGATTCATCAGGAATTAACCATGATAGTTTCCAGGGGGAACCGCGAGGAGGTCGACCTGGTTGGGTATATTGCTAGCAATGTCGAACTCCATTGCTAACAATCCCTTTTTCCCCAGATCCTAACCTTACTTCCCATCAATCTTCAATCAAGCTCGAACCAATAGTTCAATAAAAAAAAAAAAACAACGATACTAATGTCAAATGTAACATTAATCTATGATATACAAGTACAAATAATTCGTAAAATATTACATTGTCCATCTCATCTTGCCATAATAATATATTTCATACAATAACACGTCACAAAAGTCCTTCACATAGAAATGTATCCGGAGTTAGTGGACAGTGTAATTCAATTTAGTAAATTAGATTTTCCGTCGAGTTACCTGCGTCTTCGCCCCTTCACATCGTGTCATATAAGATATGAGATATGGCCAATGCATAATGTTTGTACAAATGTTTGTTGTGTACAACCTAAGGTACATTTTTAACATGAATATTTTTATTACTTTGTATGTATTTCTACCATGAAGCAGCTGTGTTTGCATGGCTGTGTTTCCGTTTGAAGGGTGGGATATGGCGTGAATTTACTGGGTGCAGAGGAATAACACCTGAGTCTACAGGAATGGCAACGCATGGGGGGTATCATGGGCGAAACAGTATACTCTGTTATATCCATGGTACTGCTCATGTCTATAGGCGACGTTTACCATTTTCCTATAAAGATTTTACAACAAACAAACTTTTTATTCGAGATATTATTTTTTACTACTTTATTACTTATGCTTGTGTCTGCATACTTTTGAATCACAATTATGAAGATCGCATTCGATTTATTAAAAAAATTTTGCAATTATCGAAACAAGCATACAGACAGACAAAAAGTCGATTCGTCAGCTAGTTTATCTATGACATGTAATGAATGATAATGGAAAGGTAACCCCGCCCGCGCTAACGGTACACACTGGCGGGGCACCAGTGAAGGATGACACGTGAAGATGAAAAAGTAGGTCAGTTAAACTATCGTGATAAATACACCTGGAATTCAGCACGATGCTTACAAGGGCGACCATGTTGAGGTCGACCCGACAGAGTATACCCCTCCCCCTCTAATAAGACATGTAAGGACACTATGTTGGTACATATTTGACAAACATTCGTCCAACACTAGACGTGTAGGGAGAAAATTAGATTGGTACAAGTGGGGTCAAGCGACA